GCAGAAAGTGCAAGCCAAGAATCTGCAAGATGGTGAAAGGGCCCAGTGGATTTGGCTTCAGTTTAAACATGATCAAGAACAAGCCTGGACTGTTCATCAATGAGGTACTAATGAAGAATGAGGAGCAAGGAAAAGCTCAAGTAGTCTGTCAGTCAGCTTCCTCCCTTCCATCCTGTAAATAAATACAAGCCACAAAAAGTATCTTCCCCAGTGCGCTCAAATCTGCAAGATGGTGAAAGGGCCCAGTGGATTTGGCTTCAGTTTAAACATGATCAAGAACAAGCCTGGACTGTTCATCAATGAGGTACTAATGAAGAATGAGGAGCAAGGAAAAGCTCAAGTAGTCTGTCAGTCAGCTTCCTCCCTTCCATCCTGTAAATAAATACAAGCCACAAAAAGTATCTTCCCCAGTGCGCTCAGAAAAAAGATAGAATGGTTTAAGTCAGATTGACATTGCTGGCCAAAGATAAAAAAATCAGCACCAGACAACATTCCTCATTCTGTTAGAAGTCTAGAGGGAATGGGAGTACAGTTTTTGCAGAAATTTTGCTTTCATTCATGAGGGTGGCATGGCTAAAATTAGTATTTAAATAGATTTTTTTTGACTGTAGAACATCGTAATTATAGGAGACACCACTGCCCTACTCTACCCCTGCTTCTCTGAATTCCACAGCTGGTAAAAGTCAAACTTCAGCTTTCTTGAGATGTTCCACTGATTTACTAAGGAATGTGCAAAATGTAGTAACGTTAACTTTAAAGTTATTGGACAGAAACCTGCAAATAGTAAGAAAATTGGTTTTCCACCAGTTTTCATGATTCTACTGTGCCACATTTCTATAATGAAAGTCTATCAAAATCAAGTTGCATTTTAAATCTCAAACTGATGGGCTCCATGTTTATGATATCAAGGCCCACTGCCTTTTCCTATTCATTCCGGCTCCGCACATCTCCCTCATGCTTATTTTAGCATGCTGTAAGGAAAGCAGTAACACAGTAGTCTAGCTAACCCTCAGTTGTTAATGCATCTTTCCAAGTTTTATGCCAACATCGTGCTTTGAATTTGCTTCTGCAGGTACAAAACCAGGGGCCAGCTGACAGAGCAGGTGTAGAAAACAACGACTTTTTGGTGGAAGTGAACGGAGTGAACGTGAGCAATGAAACCTACGAAAAAGTGGTGGCAAGAATCCAAAATAGTGGTGACAGACTAACACTACTGGTGTGTAGTAAAGATGCTTACAGATACTTCCAGAGCCAGAACATTCCCATCACAGCCTCAATGGCAGATCCAATCCATGACACTTCTGAACCTCCTGTTTATACAGAAAACCATCCATCAGAGCCAGAGAGGAACTCACCTGAACCAAGAGAAAGGGTGAGTAACAATTCATTAAGCAGATGCTGAAGGATCACACAGGGGATGAGAATAGAACTTTTTTTCAGTTAGCAAGTTTTCCTGAGCTAGGATTTTTACAAGTTAGTACAAAGGAAGTTCCTAATTACCATTGTTTACGATAATTAACTCTTCCTTTCCTCACACATAATACAGGTGAGTGTCTTTAATGCAAGATTAAATTACATAAAGAATGCACATACAGGAGATTTTATGGAACAAGATAATCCAAATGTGGTAGTCCTTAATGAGGATGGGAAACAGGCAATACAATTGTGAAAGTATGGGAAAAACTGCTTAAATACACCAAAAACATAAATGACTTTTGGGAAAATCAGGTGAAATATTTCAAAATGGAACATTTTGGAGAAGCAACAGCAACTGAGAGGTTATGAGGACATTTTCTAGGAAATGAGCTGATTTTAAATTATTTTACTCACTTCATACCATTAGAAAGAATCTGAAGTACAACAGAAGCCAGAAGACTAGGAAGGTATTTCTGCTTGAATCGATCATTTTTAAACCTCTGTGCAGTCAGCCTTAAATATTTAAATGCCTATTTTTTCTGACCATGTAAAAGAGATGAGATAGACAAAGAAGAATAAGGCCAATACTGTTTCCCATTCATTTTTCATTAGCCTTGTCTGCAAATGTCCAGCTGCAAGTTTTTTCAAACATTTCTTAGTCCTTAAGCTGCATTTTGCAGATCTGAAATCAGCACCACTTTCGTGTCCAAATTCAGCAGGTATGGGAATTCAACAACAGGAACCCTCTATTGAACAAATTTCTCTCTAAATGTACTTAACCACAATAGCTCTTCAACAACAAAAATTATATTTGTTGGTTCATTCTGCCACCTAAACAAGCATGTGATTAGTGCAGATGAAAACAGGAGTCTTTCATAATGCTGCAGACTATCAAGCATGTTTACAAACTGAAAATAATCAGAACGTATTTGTTACTCCTCTGCAGGCAAGCTCATCCTCCTCTTCACAATCAGCTGCCTCCACAAGTGCTGACGGTTACAACAGTGATGACACAAAGTTGTGAGGAGACAATCTGTGCCAAGAACAAGAAACAAACCTTCCAAATATTTTTTCTTCAGTTATTCTTTGCTACTACACCTCCCAGAACTTGACTGTTCCAAGGAGTGCCATAGCTGTAAAGGACTGCAATCTCTTGCTGAAATACACTTCAGTGTAACTTGTACCCAGTTAACATCCTGCAGCTGTGCTCCACTGGCTTTCTGCCTTGAGAAGCAGGCAGTCACTTACTTCTGAAAAGCCTTAAATAACTAGAACTATATAAATAAGTACACTGCAGCAGAGGGCAGAAATGTTTTATAGATTCATAAGCATCTTAGCCTTTTAAGGATAAGCTCTTAATAAAGAGCAACTGATTTCTCCCCAACTCCCAGGAGAGGCAGCTCTCCCCCTAATCCAAGTCCATCAACTCGATCTCTGTTGCAACTCTCTGCTATACTTACAGCAGTACAACTGCTGTGAAATGGCATAAGCCAACATACTCTGTGCATTATGCTCCTTTTCCCTGCTAACATTGCAGAAATTTCTTCCAACCATAACCCTAACCCTAACCCTAACCCTAACCATTAAGCTAACTTCATAACTCAAGACATTTCAGCACTATTCTCTCTCCTCTGCATACAGCTGTGGATCAGTAGTTAGAACAGAGTACATAATTCAGTCATGCACCCCAAAGTCAACACTGCACCATCCTGAATGTGACACAAATGGTTCTGTTATACTGGTGCTGTATACTTTGCCTCCTTGCTGTACACCAAAGCCAGCACAGAAATAAAATATTTAGAGTGGCCATTTCCCCATCCACCTCAGGTCTTACCCTTACCACCTCTGATTTATATTCCAGGACAATTATAAAGCCAAAAAAGCCTAGGAGAATGGCTATGGGAACCTACTAGTTACATTAATAAAATTTGTAACATATAATGTAAACGAGGCATAGCTGTGGTCTGTGACTTCACACTGAACTCTAGCAAAGAGGAATCCAAAACCTCAGTTTCATTTATTGCAGGGAGAGAACAGAAAGTTCAGACTCAGCAGGAGAAAGCTAATCTCCAGCTCCTAGAAACAGTAGGTACTATACACACCAGAATACACTTCATACAGAAATGGATTGAAATTCTCTCCACTCTACTTCAGCCAGACAACAAATCCTAACCACCTTCTAAGCTCACTTCCAGCCAAATCTTTGGGACTGACAAAAAAAACAAAACAACTGTGATGCTTGCATGAGATATTACAAAAGCTTATTTAATTCCACAAACTCAAACATTCACTTCCAGAACTGCTGTCCTCTGAATGCCAATTATGAGTTGACTTTCAAAAGAAAAATCACATTTCCATGGTGCCTTCTACGAAGATGTTCTAACAGTAAGAGGTGTTCCCTCAGACAGATTACCACCTGAGTTCTGATGTCCCTGGACAGTGGTGCACCAAGGACTGCCCTTAGTGCTTGGCAATGAATGAACTGTCTCACATTCATTCAGTACATGCACCCCCTTCCAGCTGTGGTGCCTTAACAAAACCACCACAGAGTTTGATGATGACATGTGTGGAGGTTCAAAGAGCTGGAACACACAGAATAGTCCTGGCTCTCTTCAGGTTTTGCAGTCCACAGGAGTTGCAGCAGTGCAGTTGAAAGGACAGAAGGCAGTGCATGACTGCAGTTCTGACTCAGAGAGTCATGTGCTTCTCTGGGGCTTGTTTGTGTGCTAAATAGAGAAAGAGGATACTGGACAGAGCACTAACTAGGAATATCACATCAAACCAACGATGATAGAAGTTGAACTGGAGCTCTCCCAAGACTTCTGTAATGATGATGCGGTACTCCGGAGGCATACTCATCCGGATCAGGAGCACTGATGACACAAAGTACATGCCCTGTAAATTCAAACACGGAAAGCAGCTGTTATTTCACCATTGGCTGTATGGCTGACAGAGATCAGCACACAGAGGTTATGTGTATATGTACACACACAGGTATGTCTGCATGCACAAACGTATATAGGAGTGCTCATGGCTCTACATACTCACCATTATCTGTGCTAAAAGCAGGACAATAACATTAGAGGATTTGCTGCTTGAAATGGCATAGAAGAACTAGGGGAGAAAAAAAAAGCATTGGAAATAAGCAGTCAGGTAAGTCTGATGTGCCTTAGGAGAGCATGAAAAGTACATACCATTCAACACTCTTGCACTTAAAAACACAATAAAAAGCATAAAAAACTCTAGAAGCCTACATGTACTCTACTTTCATAAACCTGCAGTCTTAGTCTTAAACATAGATCTCCCACAGCCAGCTGTGCTATGTGGTAAAGGTCACAAAACAATGGAGAAGTTTAAGCTTAGGTACCCAAGGCCAAGCCAAGACAGTAAGTCACAGGTCCCTTCAGTTAATGCCTTTCCAGTCCCACCAGCAGCTCAAATCAAGCAACCCAAATTCTTTTAATCACCATCTCATCAACCTTACCAATAAGCCTTGACTACAGTATTATTTTGAACCCTTGCTTATATTTAACATCTCTTCCTGACAGTAAATAACTAAGACCGAGTGGGGAGATATCCTGCAAAAGGTATTTTTCCTACCTTCCTCCCTCTGCAAGTATTCAGACATTTAAACATAAAAGTATTTTGAAAGTTGAAGATCTGATTACAGCTTTCCAGGTCTAAAAGCACGTAAGAGTCCTGGTTCTTACCTTTGTAAGTGTGATTAACAAGCCTCTAATAGAGGTAACAATGATTATTCCAACAAGAATAAAAGAAATATGCTGAGACCAGAATTTGACCTGTATCAACAAGAAGAAAACAGTTAAAACTTTAATGTTAACCTCATTTACAGCACACTGTATAGCTGCCAATTTTTCAGGGTCTTTGTATGTCCTAATTGCACAGATATCCATTGTAGATAGGTTTATATAACAGGTATTTTACAAATACATTAGCAATTTACACACACAATAATAACAGATTTGACCAACCACAAAGAACCTTGTATTCACAGGGGTATATCTGAAAAGTGTAAATAACAGAACACTATTTGCATGAGCAATCAAAACTACCCTCTAGCTGAACATATTAATCCAAGCAAGTTGTCTAATGTGCTTCCACTTCCCCAAAACAAGCAAATCACTGTCTCTCTGGCAAGACCACATTACTATCCCAGCATAAAATCAGTGTGAAAGCATCACTCATGGTGCATTTTCCCTTCCTCCTCAGTAAGTCAAAAGCCAAAGACACATTCTCATACTTCTATTACTTTCTCCCTAAGAGCAGTATGATTTTGGTTAGATAAGATATGAACTGCTGAAAAGGCTGTAAGAATAAATAAAGGCTCACATCAAACTGGATTCCCAGGTAATTTACAGTGATCTCAATTCCTCTTGTGACTGGATCGGTCTTACCCACACGGTCAAATACAATATTGATGGTTGCCTGCAAGAGAGAGAGATTTACAACCCAAACAAAAGACAAAAGCACGTCTCTGTCACACATGAGACACATGCATGAGTCCTATGTTGTATCACCAAGGAAAAGGGCAGGGGGTGGCCAGATTCTCCAAGAAGGTGAAAAATGCACACATGTAAGAATTGCTTGTCTAATGCTCTATACAAAAACATGTATCCAGAGCTTTATTTCAACCAAGGGCAGTTTCTTTCAGAATTCCCAGAAGAAGGATTTGAAGGAACTGGAACATTACTTAATGAACTGCATGTATTGCATAATCTATGCAGTACAGAGACATTTACATACATCCACATAAAACACAATAAAACAGTTACATACCATGAAGATTTTCCAGACACAATAGATGGAGAAAAAATAGCCCAAAAAGTTAAAGTATTTTCCCTGAAAAGTTTTGGAATACTCTATTCTCTCCTGGAAATACAAAAGGAGGGAGAGGGAGTAGAACACACAAAATGTATGTCATTTCCACAATCACCCACAACATAAACCTTTAACAGAGCACCAATAACAGCAAACACAGCTCTACCCTTCTACACCTTTTCATTCTAATGTTTCTGAACTCCTAAGTTTTAATTCACAAGTTTCTGAATGGCTACAGGGACATGGGGCAGACTCCAGGATGTACCTGAACTGGAATGAAATTGTCATCTAGACCTTAAGTTAAAAAAAACCCCCAGATCCTCACTTCACTACATTACAACATTTACCTATTGAACAAATTTCAATTTTTCATACCATACATTCTCTTTCAAACTACTCTGACTTCCCAACACCTATCTGGGCAGTTATTTCTTGTGTACCTTTGTTGCATGCAAGTCAGCAGTTTCCAGAAAAAGCTGTCGACTCAATTCTTCTAGGGCATCCACTTCTTGCTGGATAAGGGACAGATCTGGCAAACCAGCATAGTCAAGGCTATAACACATCACAAATTCTTAACTAAAAACAAAAATTCCCCACCTTCAGCCCAAGGGACACATCTAATGATTTGATCACTTTTTTGACCTAGATCAGCTTTTTGCTTCAGTCTTCATGCTCCTTTATTAATCCTACACCCAGAGAAACCTCATGGATATACATATATATATATATATATTGCACAATACTCCAGTTTAAGAAGGCAGTCAGAACCCAGTATTTAGGCAGTCATGCAACAAACTCTGTATTTCTCTGCCCTTTATTTCTCACACATCACAGAATAGAACCAGAGCTCTCAAAGACTGCTGCTCCACTTTGATCAGTGTCCCTTGTCACTCTCACATCATCTTCATAAACAAAACTGCTGAGTAACTGCTCCAAGAGATTAGTGATTACTATGAAGAGTCTTGTCAAATAGCCAAATTCCGATTTTAACAGCTAGTGGGAAAGGAGAGGAAGAAGATTCCTCAGACTTAAACATGCAAACTGCACACTTCAAGTGGTCTGGCAGAAATCATTGGTAAGTAACTTTAAGTTAGAGAAGTACAGGCCCTAGTATTTCCCAACAGATTCCTTCTATCCCTTTCTCCTGGGCAGAACACCTTCTGTTCACCTTTCTATCCACCTTTTTGTCATACTCTTAACTCTCGTATCCGGGATGTGATGGGATAGACAGCTGCAATGGGACACCACAAAGATGATTAGAGGGCTGGAGCACCTCTCCTAGAAAAACGGGCTGAGAGAGGTGGAGTTGTTCAGCACGGAGAAGAGAAAGCTCCAGGGAGACCTTCAAGCGGCTTTCAGTACCTAAAGGAGCCCAAAAGAAAGCTGGAGAGGGACTTTTGACAACGGCATGTAATGATAGGACAAGGGGAAATGGCTTCTAACTGGAAGAGAGCAGGTTTCAATTGGATATTATGAAGAAAATCTTTACTGTGAGGATGGTGATGCACTGGAACAGGTTGCCCAGAGAAGCTGTGGATGCCCCATCCCTGGAATTGTTCAGGGCCAGGTAGGATGAGGCCCTGAGCAACCTGGCCTAGTGGAAGGTGTCTGTGACAGTGGCAGGGGGTTGGAACTAAATGATCCTTAAGGTCCCTTCCAGGCCAAACCATTCTGTGATTCTAAGATAAGTGTGAACATCTGTCCTATGATCTGCTGTACACCTCAACCATGGTGATGCAACAGCACATTTACAAAGCAGGGCAGCAGCACAGAACATCTGTCTGTGTCACAGTAAAGCTATGTGTCCAAGCCCTGGGCAAAAAGTCAGCACAGTTCTAGAGAGCAAACTTCCCAGGAGACAATAGGATTGAAATGTGTTGAAATATAAATGCTTTGTAACTGCCCCAACTAAGACTCTACCTTTCAAAACAAAGAAAGCTGGATCCAGCTCCCAAGGCAGGTGTCAACACGCAGATGAAGGATACTTTCACTGCCTGGAACAGATGTTGTCACGCTTTTTATCATTCCCCAGAAGCCAGTGGGTTTGTTATGCACTTCTCCTCTCTGGAACATTGTCCTGTGAGCCACTGCTATCCTGAAAGAACAAAAAATACAAGTCCTTAGAAATAATGTATTTTTTTAAAAAAATCAAAACAGGAAAAAAGAAAAACAAATCCACCAGTTTCTTAGAAGACACTGTTAAACTAAATTCACTGCAAACAGATGCCCCCTTCTTTTTTGCCCTAAGCACCAATCTTGCTACATAAAATTATCCTGATTAGCTCTGGAGTAGAGCCCAGATCTAATCAAGCAAGATTCAGTGAGATATTTCCCAAGACTTCCATTCAGGATCCTGTTTCAATCCTTAAAGGGATTTACACCCTGTTAAAAATAAGAATATAAATGGATTTCTCAGACTCATGATTAATTGCTTTCCTTTCCTCAAACACATGACTGTATTATCTCAAGTTCAGGAACTGGAAGACTTCTAACACTCCTTCCTACCCTTGAACACCTCTTCTTTATCGCTGCACATCCTCCTCCCCCGAGGCCTGTGAGGACTGGATGGTATGCACAGCACTCTCTGACATGCTGTCACTCACTACTGGGCTGCATGACAAGCTGTTATGAAGCAGAAACACACAAATCCATTATTGGATTGAACCACTGGATGCTTCAGGCAATCTGAACGTGACTCCTAAAGCTAATTCCAACACTGCAGCAGCACCTGCATATCGTCCCTCACACTCCCATGTGCACCACAGCATAATCCCCGTGAGCACTGTTGGCTTCTGGCCTCATTCCCTCACATTTCTCTCCATTGAAATTTGTGAGCAAGTTATCTACTCCTAAGCTGAAAAACTATTCACAGGATTGTGAAGGTGATCTGTGGTTCAACAGCCTTTGAGCCCTTTCTTGTAGCTGCAGTCAGTGTTGCTGCATTTGGCACTGAGCCCTCTTCAAGTTGTTGAAAAAACATGTAATAAAAAGAAATTTTAAAAAATTATTCCTCTCTCACTCCAGCAAAAAATAACCACCCTTGGGGCACCCCACATAAAAGCACATATGGCCACACACTACAAATAACACAGATCTTAGAACAATCCAATTCATCCTGATAGCTGCCAAATGTAAGAAATTCATTTTTCATCCTTGCTTTCTTCCCAGTACCCAATTCACATGTTCCATCCCAAATGATCCATAGCATTGCAGCAAAACTGCAGCAGTGTCAAGGTGAAGCACAACATTCTAAGTATACAAAGGCAAGTACTTTCTTCTGAGAGGTGACAGGGATCTCTGTATCTAACTGGTAGTCAGGGATTCTGGAGACCTCACAGAAAGGATCCACAGGCAAAGCACACACACTCTGCCTGTGTGGATATCTGATATATCTATGTCAGACAGACTGATCTGACTCTAACATGAAGCAAAATGAAGCAATGGTGTCACAGAGCCTAGACATTTCCAACCTGAGGCTTAGTTATGTCATACCTGCAAGGATGACTACAAAGAACCAGACAACCTTAGAAGTGAGTTTCCATAACTTCCTTCTCAGGAAGGAGAAAATAATAATTCCTGTGCAAAAAGCATCAGGAAAAACAACTTCAACAACTATCTCCTACTGACTAGGAAGCTATCGGTAGTACTGGAAAGGTGGCCAGAAAGTAACTGACGATTTATTGAACTGCAGCATTTACCCTACACTGTAAAATATTGCTATTTCTGCTTATTCTGGCAAATTATTTGGTTTTCATTTGGACTGATACATATCTAACTATTTCAAGTCTGCTTCATATGAGCAAACAGTTCAATTATACAAGCCACTGCCCCCTGTCAAAGCAAAAAGAGAACAAAATCTACAGACCTCAAGCTTCTGCTATTTCTTGCACATTTCTGAGACTACATAATTTTGGGGTTTGTTTTGGGTTCTTTTGGTTGGTTTGGTTTTTTAATACAAATATATGACCTTCATTATAATTCCCAAGTGATTAATACAAGATACATGGCCCTTCGTAATGGTTAGAAAGTTGCTATATTCAGATTTCCTGGCCATAGAAAAGCAAGAAAGTGCCAGTCAGTTACAAGTCCCAGACACCCTTACTTTTACTGCAGCATCACTCTCCCTGGACCAGAGGTCCAAAAACACTGTACAAAACAAAAGAGCACAGAGTCAGAAGCAGCACCACACTATCTTTTAACTCCAAAGCCAGTATTTTAGTATGCCTCCAGTCAATTAAATCAATTCAACCTGAGCAATTAAATTCTTTATTTACTATCTCACTCATAACCACAAATACTGAGTCAACAGTTGTTCACCACTTTACATTTTCAAAGAGGAAGAAGGAAGTTATAGTTAACTACACTTTCATCTGCTAACACTGATCAGCAGATACACATACCGGTGACAAATTCAGCGAGGTTAGTCTATCTAAAAGCTCCCTTGCATACATTAAAACATCGTATTAAAACATTTAGGGGACTACTGTAAGACTTCAGACAGTCAAACCTTCAAAATGACTATAGTAATTGTATTTATTCTGCAAAATCAGCAAGGCATGCAATATATAATCTGTAACAGCAGACAAAAATCTTTTCAGTGTAAATGAAATTACATGGTTTCCAGAAGTACTTTTTTTGCTTGGAGTACATGGAATAAGCTAAGCCACCAAAAAGCAGAGTTCTGATGGCAGGTTTGTGTACTACACTATACTCACACTAGCAGTGTTTTGCAATTCTGCAAAACTTAACTGATGTAAATGTTGCCATTGGCAAGAACACAGCTGTGTCCACACCAGCCCACTGCCCTGCTTCAGCTTTCATCAGGAACCACCAGATCCAGACAGCAGGAGGGCACTCTGCATGTATGAACCCATTCCTGTCCTGAAACCACCACTAAGAGCCAGCTGCAGTGGCATACAGGTTGCTGACTCAGCAGAAGAGAAAGATGCTCATTTAACAGACTAGCTATGCTGCCATCAGAGAGTTACAAATTGTCTTGGAAACCTAATCGGGGCTACTGCAGTCAGAAAGGGCACTATTGAGTACAAATGTCTGAGAAAAAAAACAGTCATGTATCAGGCCAGAACAAAACATCACACAGCTCAACCTAATTCAATCACCTGTTTCACTGGAATACATAGCCCTGAAAGGATGAACGATTTTGGTCATTTCAAGAACCATCTTGTAACATACTGACTGAAAATCACTGAAACAAATCATTTCATGCTACTGTTGCCTTCTCACCTTTTTTTCTTGCTAACGATCATGTCCATAGTCTGAAGGAGTCGTCGCTCCAGAGCCAGAATATCTGCATCTGTCACATTCCTGCAAAACAAAGACGCCCAGTTAGGCCTCCTATCCCATTTCAGAAGAGATGTGCACATGCCCATGAAACAAAGGAGAGAGAAGCATGTATAAAAAGACTATGCTTCAGCAATGGATATGGTTCTAGCATGCAGACATGGCAATAGTCATGATTATAGTAATGAAATATTGATTGAATGAAATATCGATGCATAGTCATGAAAAATTCAGGAAAAAAGTAACAAACTTGAAACAATGCCTCAGAAAAAGCAAAAGAATAATCTCAAAAAGCTGGACAAATATTTCACAAGGTTGCAGTTACCTGAGAAAGTAGGACATGTAAGTGTATGGACAATTGACAGCCCCAAATCCTGACAGCAAAGCCATGAGTGTCACCCCAATCACACCAACACGGCTGATGAGCTGTTCTATAGACAGGATTCCTGAGAGAGGAAAAATAAGGCATTAGTAACCTTGCTCTCTTCACTCTGAGCCACACTTGGTGCCTTCATAACACAATACAGAGCTGCTTAATGAGTCCAAATGCCTTCCCACTGCAATGACCACAGGTAACAGGAGTACAGACGACTATGAAAAGAAAAGGGGTAGGAAGTCTCCGTCAGAAATCACATTACCCTATGAGAAACAGGGACAGGAAACTCTAGCTATGAAGAAACTGGAGAGGACAAAGAGTCAATATTTTACTTCTAAATTAATAAAACATTAATGGTTGCCTTTTGCTGAGGTGGCAACTGAGATTGTACACCAGATACTCTAGGGGAGGCATCTTCTACAAAGACACTTCTGCAATACCAGGATTAGAGATACCAAACCAGCTGGTCCTGGCAAACTGGCCTAAAAACGTCTGAACCACAGAGGGGAAGCCCTACCCTGTCAATTGTCATTAGAAGTAACCCCTCCAGATCAGATTCAATTTGTGCTTGTAGAACAGTGGAGTTCTGACAGCAGGGGAAGCTTCTGCTGCTCCTGGCTGTTCAGGATTCATCTGGTTGACACACATATATGTTGTTGAGGTGAATGCCAACAAGGTATTTCACCTGAGCACCAAGTGGTCTCTTAAAACATGTAATTCAGCATGAACATTGAGCTTGTGCTGTATCCAACATCAAGCATTTATTCTTAAACACAGACCTCAACCTGTCTTCTCAGGATACAGTGCCATGTGCTAGTAAACAGCACTCACTTTTTAGGCAGCTAGTTATAGAGCAGCTGCCACACACAGCACATTTGGAGCTTACACGATTGCAAAGCTGAGATGGCCAAGCGCCAGGCCACATTTCATGCTTCAGAGAAGTGGAATAAATGATGAAAACAAGGCAAAAAGACTTCACAAAGGGAAACAGAGACACACAGTCATGTGCAGCTGCCCAGAGATTTACACGAGCTACAGAATGTGCTACAATACACTGGCCTTTTGCCCCACACACTGTCAGACTGCAGCAGCTAAAACAGAGGTGCCTTCAAAATGACATGACATTCCTCTGGTTAGAGCAATGCTTCCCCATAACACTCACAGAAACCCACCTGTGATCAGGTCAGATAAAATGAATGTTTTACCAACTCAGATAAGGTCAGAACTTTATTACAATACTTGTATGCAATGAAGCATAACCTTCCTTCTACTGTGAGCTCCCAAACTCAGGTCTATTAAATAAGCTGCAGACCAGGGGAGCCCTCAATCCATGGTGCACTTCCCAGCTGCAGGACACTGCCACCACCATCCTCAGACAAGGCACCCTGACACAGGATGCTAGTGCAGGTACTTGAAAGGGTCTCACTAGTCAGCACTATCCATGCAAGTGAGCAGGATGGGGCACACTGAGAAAGACACTGCAGGTGGTATACTGCAGCATGAGAGCTCACTAAAATGGCCACCTATACATCTCCCTCTGCAGCAGGATCCCACCTGTCTGAACTGGGCCACTGCTACCTGATGAAACCTGCAGCAGCCTTGTCCGTGCATGCAGGACAGCATCACACCAGCA